CAGCTCTGCACCCTGCTCCCAAACTAGTGGGGTCTGCTGGGGGGGTCCCTTCCCAGTGCCATGAGAACAACCCCAGAACTGACACCCCCCGCACTCCAGGTTAATGGGGTCTCTGTCTTGCAGGAGGTGGGCAACACCAGCCAGGCCACACGTGCTGACAATGAGCAGGGAGATGGATCGTGGGGTCAGCCTGGAGAACCCGTATGCCAGCGTCAACATCCCGCGGGACCAGTTCCAGCAAAGCTTCATCACTTGCTACCTAAAGGACGAGCCCACCATCATCGCCAACCCTGCAGCCGTGCCCACCTATGGCGTGGAGGAGCAGGAGGGCAGCTGGAACAGCCCAACCATTTCCACGGAGAAGTCCCGGTCCCGTCCCTACAACCCCTATGCCAGCCTGAAGATGCCCAACGGGGAATCGCCCAACTCCTTCTACACTGTCACCCTGGACAAGCCACCCAAGGGCCAGGAGCAGGAGGCCGGCGGGGGATGCAGCTGCTGCAAGTGCTGCCCTTGCTGCAGAAAGTGCTGCTGCGTCGTCTCCTAAGGGCCCTTGCTGCGCCCGCAGAAAGTGCTGACCATGGGATGGGGCCAGATGGCCCTATGGGGACATGGCTGCCCAGCCTGGACACCCCAGGGAGCTGACCTGGTGCCTGGCAGAACTGGCAGCTGAGGTGGCACTGCCTAAACTCTGCCACTGCTTTTCACCCGTGAGCTCTGCAGCCAGATATGCCGGTGATGGGCACCTGCCAGGTCCTGAGAGCCCAGTGTGGGGCCTGGGGGAGAAGGACAGGTCCCCTCTGCCCCGCTGAGGCCTGGGAGCCTTGAGGATGATGTGTGCCAACGCAGATGCCATCGAGAAGTGTCTACACTGGGGATGGGGCAGCACTTTGAACCTGAGATCCTGCCGGAGGGTAGGTTTGGATGGTGGCAGTCCTGTGCGTCTGGCAGAAGAAGGCATCATTGTTGCTGTCTTGGAGCCGTGGAGAGGAGCCAGGGACATGCCCCAGATGGGATGGGGACTCACCTCCCCAGAACTGAGCGGTGTCCCCCACCTGTCATGGGGACGCTGCAGCGCCCTGTGCCAAGCTCCAGCTGGGTGCTGCTCCTCCTCGCCACACTGCCCATGGGACAGAGGGAAGGAGACAGGAAGGACAGACAGGCAAAGCGTGGCAGAGTGCTGGGCAGGGCTCCAGGGCAGCACCTGACAGCACAGCACGGGTGTGGGTGTTAACATCCCAGTGCCAGGAAACCCCTGGCCCCTGCCAGGCTTGTGGGGTGCTGGGCACAACCCCTTGCCCCAGCTGCATCCTGGCTCGGGGCTCCACAGCACCTTGGGGCTGGGTCCAGTGCGGAGGGCTGGCTCAGTTCCAGCAGCGGGGTAGCACTGGGGCACCCCGTTTGAGATGCAGACCCCCATCGTTCACGTTCTGCGACCCCCTGGGCATTGAGGAAGGCGGGTGAGGAGCCCGCTGGCCTCTTTGCAGTGTGGTGGGGCGGCTCCAGGCTGGGTTTTTGGCTGGGGCTGGCG